GTTACCCATTTTTAAAAACATAGTTAAATCCCACTACCTATCCTTATAATCAATTAGTCCTGCGTATTTTATGCGTATATATGTATGTATATGTGTATGTATGTATATATATTTATATGTGTACGTGTATGTATATATATATATATATATATATATATATATATATATATATATATATATATATATGTATATATTTGGATGTATGTGTTTATTTATGTATGTGTATATGACTATGCTGTCACAGATATTATTTTTTACAGATCTATTTCTTTTAACGCGCCACCTACCTATTTATGCTTTAATTCCTTCTACCCAAAGGTTGTCTGGAAGAGATTGCTTAGCAAAAAGACCACCTTTTGTACTACACTATACGTATTGAAAATTGTTCAACAAATCATGTTATGTTGGTGCGATAAAGTGTTAAATAAATAAATATTTTTGGTGAGTTTTACAGTATTTACCAATGCACTAACCAAAAATTAAAACATCAAACATTATAATAATACAATATTGAAATAAAAAAACTAATTATGTTATATAAAATAAATTATAAAAATGCATTTCTGCGTAATTCGTTACCGCTCTGCGAAACTGTGGCAGTACAGTGAAATAAGTCTAGATTGGAACTCGTATATGATATATTTGTATACGAATTGGAATCGTAATCAAGCAACATGTTACTGCTCATGTCTATAGGCGACGGTTATCACTTTCCATCAGGTGGGCCGTCAGCTTGTTTACCATTCTAAGTTGCATAAAAAACATATCTAATAGTAAGTGGTTACCATTTGGTAACCATTCTCTATCAGTACGAGCGTCAGAGAATATATTGTAACACCTAGTTATTTTTCTGCCATAAATCATATCAACTCCAAAACTGGTACCCAATCTGAAAGCAGGAGCACAAGTGAGCTTCAGTAAATCAATAAAATTATCTTGAGTGCCGACATTTGTATATTGACTCCTCGATTGATAAAGCAATTAACTGGTGCGTACCGCCGCACTCGCTGGCCTGTCAGTAAGCACTGTCTTAAGAAACAGAGGGAGACTTTGTACAAAAGTCGATTGCTTGGGTACCTCTGTCACGTTCGTGTTTCAACCGTGAAGCAGTTGTGTTTGCATAGCTGTGTTTCGGTTTAGAGGGTGGGATATGGCGTGAATTTACAGGGTACACAGGACTAACATCCGAGTCCTCAGGAATGGCAACGCATGGGGGGTATCATGGGCGAAACAGTATACTCCTGTTGTATGGACATCCATAGTACTACTAATGTCAATAGGCGACGGTTATCACTTTCCATCAGGTGGGCCGTCAGTTTGTTTGCCATTCTAGGTTGTATAAAAAAAATGTGGAAAAATGTACTTGTAAAAAAATAACTTTCATCTTATTTCTGTATCTATATTCGTGAATTTAAAATTGAATAATTTTTCAACCAGTCATACCCGTTGAAATACTCAGAATTCACTCGTACTTTATGTGATCACCCTAAGAAATAAGCGCATTGTAAATAGCAAAGTAATGAGAAGTCACGACCCACGTGACTGAGTTCGAAATTAGATACCAAATAACCTAATCGTAGGGTTGTCACTTAATATCATATTGTCGATTTAGACAGGGGTCTCTGACAGTTGAATTAAAGTAGGATTGGTTCAACTTGTAAATGACACGAAAACTTGACACTCGGACTTGCGATAAGCTTAGATACATTACTATATTATATTCAATATTCTTGACGATATCATCGATCAGTATAGAGGCAGGAGACCTTATACTCTTTCTCTCTCTAATTAGTAGACAACGCTTAGTTAAAAATTTAATACCTATTATTTTAGCCTGTAATGTCGACAAAAATATAGCAGTTATGAAAATATAGCGTAGACACACGTATGTGTGCCTCGGCTACACCTCGGCCCACATTTGCACGTTCGTCCATCAATGCCTCAGTTGCTGGCCGCTACAGTAATGTACTATATCATAATTGTGTTTACATATGTTGATTTTGTATACATTTATTATTTATACATGTATTATTTATAGGTTTGTGGTTGACTGGCAGAGAACATCGTCCGGTGTTAAGTCCGCCATATGTACATAGTGCGTTAATGAATGATAATGGAATGGTAACCCCGCCTGCGCTATCGGTATACACCAGCGGGGTACCTGTGAAGGATGAGCTTCTATAAGCTAAATATTTTTCAAAATCGGTGAAGTAGTTTATAAGTTCTCCCATTACAAACAAATAATCGAATCTCCTCTTTAGTGTAATATTAGTGTAGATTGTAGGGTCAGAGGAAAATATTTTGATTGTGAAAAATGTTGGGACACTTGATACGACACGACGAATTTATGAACATTATAATAGACGGTAAGATAGAAGGAAGGAGGGAAAGAGGGAGACCGAGACATAGTTACATCAGGCAGATCAAGGAAGAAGTTGGTGTCGTATCGTATCAAGAGGTGAAGAGACTCGCTGAAAATCGTAGTGAGTGGCAAGAGCTCCACCGACAAGAGCGCAGCTCTTAAATAGTATAGATAGATAGATAGTAAATTAGTGAATGTTAATTAAATTAGCACTAATTTTGTTTCGTTATAACCTATTTAAATTTAGATCTTTGCATAAAAGTAATCCTTGGTTCGATTCCCTTTATAATTATAATTAATGCTTTAGAAAGTATAATTTCTGTTGGCTGTAGCTTGATGTTAAAACTGGCGCGTACTTGGAACTTAGTTTGTGCACAGTTGTACCACGGGAATAGAAAGTTACGTAAATGGTTAATATTATGTCTCAATTGAACTTTGAAGTTACTTTAGGATTTTATAACAAAATATAATTAATTCAAACAACCTTCGAACTGAGACGAGTTGGAAGGTTGATTTATTCATTCATACTTTAAATTAGACAATTTAAGGTATAAATGTAAATTACTAAATATAACAATGTAATCCCCTATTACAATAACTTATTATAAATACTTTACTTAATGTCAAATAAACCATTATATTATAGTCGATGCAGTAATTTTTGCGTGATGCCGGAACAAACATACAGAGCGAGAAAAAATTTTATATTTATTGGTTTAGCATCTATTGGTCTTAATAAGATTCCTAATATAAATATATTATTAACATTATATATATATATATATATATATATATATATACATATATATATACATATATACATATATGGTATACATACATTGTATGTCATTATTTATCACATGACCTTTGTCGGACGGCAGCGAGGTGACTAATCCCCGAGCTCACCGCTATTAGCCCGCTTTTCCTTTCATTCATTACTAATTAGGTTAGAATACAGCAGTCATCAGCCGCTATCTGTGTCTCACACTTATTTGTCCAGGACTAAGTTAATATTGACTTCAATATAACAAAATGTCACGAAAAAAACAATAAACCACAAATAAAACGAAACATGTGTTTAATTATTTCAAAGCGGGGAACATGGTTGGAGACACATTTCGTTACTGGTGTAAAAAAGACTAAATTGACTGGTTAAAATCGTATTTTTACTCATAATAAGAGGTTTCTAAGCTTTTTTATGTAACTTTGAATTGCGAGCAAGCTGACGACCCACCGTGGCCATTGGCCATGTGGTCCCGGCATATAATAGGACACACCTTCCTTCATGTCAAAAGAAGCGACTAAAAGAAGGTGAGAGATGAGCAGCAGCGTCCCTCTTAAAACATCTTCTAACTTTAATTGCGGTTGCAAATCCGCCTACCAATCGTAGCAACTACTAACAAATCCTTAAGCTTATGTTCTGCAGTGGACAGTTAAAGGCTGATATGATGACGATGACGGCCCACCTGATGGAAAGTAATAACCGTCGCCTATAGACATGAGCAGTACCATGGACATAACAGAGTATACTGTTTCGTTCATGATACCCCCCATGCGTTGCCATTCCTGAGGACTCAGGTGTTATTCCTCCGTACCCTGTAAGCTCTTCCCTAGAAATCTGTCCGATTCTAGAATAAGGACTTGCGACCCCGGCCTCCCGAGCCGCTGCAGTGTCCCAGTCCTTTCCGCAACTGCAGTGTTCTCCCCCCCCCCCCCTTTCCTTTCCCACATAAGTCCCTTATTCCTCTCATTTACCAATTTCCTTTACACATTTCCAACGTTCCCTTCCTTTTTTCCTCAATCCTTTCCTCCATACTGTAGGTGATGGAAACCACCAACAAATGCATTCCCAAAGAGAGTTGACGTCAGGCAGGTGGCCGGTTGTAAAACTCAAAACTAAATGTTTTTATAATATGCATAAAATCATATTACGCCGACCCCAAATGATTGGGATAAGGGTAGGAAGATGATGATGATGTAGTATTATACCTACTATGCTTACAATTTACGTATTCTTAACAAACGTTATTTTATCCAAATTACTCGTATATTAGCTAAGCCTAATTCCGAAATTTTTAAACTTTGTAAATTATTAATGTCCATTAATTCCTCTCTTTCCGTACGTACGTAAATAGATTGAAGTTAATTTGAGAATTTCGTTGAGGGTTCGAAAGGCCTGATATATACAGGTATATATAAGTGAATAAGGTAAAAGCTTTTATAAAGGAACAAAATTTACGAAAAAATTTCAAAATGTTTTTTAATCTTTTTACTTTATACAGCAATGCAAGATGGTTTTATATGAATATGGTCATAGATTCGATTTTCGGATAAATTATTGAGGAACTTTTCTAAAGCGGCTCGGATCTGAGTGTTCTGGGTTATACCTAACCTGATCTCTTCGTTCCTGATTTCGACGCCTCTGATCAAATTCAATTTTCCCATTAAAAAAAAATTACAAAAAACTTTGGCAGTGCACTAGACGCGTGCAGCTATAATGGGCCTAAATATAGTAAGAGGCCTTACCCGTATAAATATTTATCTGGTCGCTTCTGAAACGTTATCAAAATATGCGATATGATAAACTGATATAGTCAAGTGAGTTTGATCTCGTTATCAGTATCAGTTTACGCTAACAATCTGTAAGTTGCTATTCTTTACGTCGTGTAAGACCGAAATAAGCCGATAAGAACGAAAATGTGCATTAAAAAATGTTCGGTATATTTATTTCTATTGGCCACAATTCATATGTGTGTATCTAGTAAAATATTGGTAATATTTCCGGTTAACGCCAGAAGCCACACTAGCCTTGGGGACTCCATAGTACACACGCTTCTGGATGCGGGCCACGAGGTACCTATTATAGCTGTATCTCTATTTTACTTTGTACAAATTCATTTAGTTGGTAACCTCGAGATTCTTCTCGAAATAGACATAATAATAATGCCTACTAATATTATAATTGACATAAGTAACAAATGAATAGCCAATAATAATCAATTATCGATGGAAAAGGAAGATTCTTTCTTAACCGACGATCCCGTATAGGTAAACGCAGTGTAGGACTATCTTCCACTAGATGAAACGACAACTGCAAATATAATACATTGCAGGGAATCGGTGAATGTAGATGGTTCAGAACAGTTCTGGCAGTCTATCGAGGAAGCCTGTGTTCAGAACTGTACAGTTAAAAGCTAATAAGATGATAATGAATCGATCATCATTACAATAACCAATCGTTATGAAATTTTGTGTACTATTTGGGATGTAGATTGATTCACTCTTGCGCCACCTGCCCTTTTCTATCTGTTCTCCCTTAACTAAAGGTTGTCTGTAAGAGATTGCCCTAGCGATAAGACCGCCTTTTGTACCTTTATGTGTATATTTCAATCTGTATTTATGTTACTGTATTTCATTTGAATTATTCACTTGTCATTGTATATTTTTATTTATGGTGCAATAAAGAGTTAAATAAATAAATAAATGTAGAAAGACATATACCTATATCAGTAAATTGACATATCCCAACTACTTGGACGAAGTGGGTGGTGAAAGCTAATAATAGTGAAAATAGTATATTGAAATATCGGCGATTTCTGATAGAGTGTAAAAGAGAACCTGTATTAGGAAAACGAAGCACTTTAGGTTAGTATGAACTCGTCTTTTTTGTGTACCAAAAACCGGACCCTATGAACACATCATTATTATCAACATATCAGCCGTTTACTGTGAATATAGGCATTTCCCTATTGGGGGATTTTGCCAGTAGTTGCCAGGCTTGGCAGGCGGGTTGGCAACTGCAATTAGACTTTGGTGATGGTTTAAGAGAGACGCTGCTATCTGTCTTTCGAGAAATAAATTCTCTTAGTCGCCTCTTACGACACTCACAGGAAAGGATGGGGTAACCCTATCTATTTACAATTATTACATAAATCTTTTAAACTAGGAACAATCTTCACAGGCTCTCACATAAGTAATGGAATTTCATCAGGTAACGTACGTGTCGCCATTCCCAATGAAGTCGACAAATTCTCGGTTTCGATTCATTGACATCAGATCGCCCACCACTGAGGCCGGTTAGTAATAATTTAATAATATTCTTAATTAAGGAAAAACACTTTTATAACGCAAATGGCAATACAGTATGTACACTTCCTTATCCCCCTCAAGTAATGTGGTTGATTACTTGAGGTGAAGGAAGTGTAAATCTAACCATTAATGTTTGTAATAACAAATGAGTTACTAATGTATTTCCGACCTATATAACATGCAATTTTCAGGACTTATTACCTAGTTATTTCGCTACCGAATTCAATCTTAAAATAAGCAAACTAGTATTGCATTTATTATACATAAAAGGCAGTACAAATGACTTTGCATGAAGTCTTCAGTTACCAGTATAATTCATGATCATGATTAAAATTAAATTCATAGGGACAGTTTGTGTCTTTCTTTGCAAAATTTTATTCTACAATAAAATATTACAGAATAAAGAGTTTTTGAGAAGATAATGAGTACCATAGTAAACTTATATATAAAGGATTTTAACAGTTCATCGTCAAATATGTTTTCCGAATTCTTTTTCATGTAAAAAGTTCAAATACTTTAACTTAATTTAGTTCTATTAAATAAACACGAAACGGTAATCAATGAAAAGTTTCTCTTTCGTGCAATTAAGACTACATGACACTGTGCATATTTCTTTTTTATCACAGATAAAGAGAAACCGCACCTGAACCCAGTACATCTGAAGAATAACCCCATGCCTTTACATCATATATTAAAAGTCGGATCTTCGCATGCTCAACAAGCATTGCAACATCCAGCTTTGCAAGAACTGCTTCAAGACCGTTACGAACAATTTGACCTTGTTTTAGCAGAATGGTTTTATAGTGGACTTTTGGCTCCGTAAGTTGACTCTTTCAGTGTAACAATTGTGTCAAAATTATTATCATAATAAACCTTTGGTTCAAAATAAATATTATTGGGAACTTTTATGATCCACAACTCTAATATGTAGTGAAACTCAAAAACCTTTGGCATTCTTTTATTTTTTAAGTATTATCATCACTTTCAGATTAGCAACTGTATTCGATTGTCCCCTAGTCTGGTACTTCTCTGCTGATGTTTATTGGCAAGTCTTGCAGATGGTACATGAACCAAGCAGTCCAATTTACACTGCCGAGCAAAGAGCCTTCAGTGTACCTGCAGTACCCTTTACTCCACCAGAAAGGGCATATCAATTGTGGCTGCAGCTCTACTTATCCGGGTGGATTTAGTAAGAAAGTTTTGTTTAATTTCGACATTGTTTATATTTTTTTCTTTTCTAATTTATAGTTCTCGACTTTTTTTATTTCAGTTACTTTACTCATTATGTGGAAAAGCCAGTCTATGTTGAGGTTTATGACAGAGCTATGAACATACGTGGACGTATGCTTCCTGAGTATGAACCGCTGGTATATAACGGTTCGCTCTTACTGATAAATTCGTATCCACCTCTAGGACAGTCAATGCCTTTGCCACAAAATGTAAAATATATAGGCGGACATCATATAGATAATCCTATAAAAACACTGCCTAAGGTATTAATATGAATCTTCATATTTGATTATAAGCTTCTGAACTTTATGTTATAGAAAACAATTTTGGGAGTGGTAAACATGCTAAGGATTATCGTGATTGACATATTGTTAAATTCGTCACGATAGGCTAATCACTTATTATCTTTTACTGGTACTCCGCCAGTGTATACTGATAGCACAAGTGGATATACCATTCCTTTATCATCCGTTAAAAAAGCATGCTAAGGGCTTATTCATCCCATAAAATTTTCAACGTTTTTCTTTCAATCGTGTGGTACATTTCTAAGTTATTTTAATCACTTTGATACACTATAATTAAACCAGGTGTACCATATAAAACCCTGCTTCTATTCCTTATTATTTTATTCAAGGATTTGGAACGAGTTATGGAGAATGCGAGAAATGGCGTCATCTTCTTTAGTATGGGCAGTAATGTTAAAAGTAAAGATTTTCCAGAAACCATAAAACAGCAATTGGTCGATGTCTTCCGGCAATTGGATCAAACTGTCATTTGGAAATTCGAGGAAAAGATTGACGACATACCAAGAAATCTACACATATTAGAATGGGCACCACAGCTGAGTATTTTGTGTAAGTTACTTTTTATTTGACAAACAAACTGTTGTTGTAGATAATACCAATAATAACCGTACAAAATTTAATATGGACATTTAATTTCATTCGCTCCTGGTGTTGCGGGCATTCATAAATTACAGTGACCGTTTACCATCAGACGGGCTGATGCTTCTTTACCATCTTTATGGTATAAAAAAAAATTAAAATCTTTCTTGATCATGCACAACGGGAATTTTAAGAAGTTACTAATTATTCTTTCGTCTTTTGACCATGTAAAATAATAATTCACATAGTTCACGAAACTTCGCGAAAATTAAGATACTTTAAATGTAATAAATACATCTCGAACGAATAACGAATATCGTTGGTTTATCTACGTTGCAAAACAACACGTGTTTCAAAACAATAAGAGTAGATTTTTGTGGAGCAAAATATGTTTATATTAGCTACTATCATTATCTACTGTTGAACGTAGGTGTCCCCAATAGACTGCCATAAGAACGATCCTAAGCCATTAGCAACTACATGTAAGGTTATTTTGCAGGTCACCCTAATACTAAGGTCATGATAACACACGGAGAACTGCTATCTTTGATTGAAGCCACGTACTGCGGAGTACCCATTATAGCAATCCCACTATTCGGAGACCAGTTTTTCAATATAGATCTCACGGTGGCGAGAGGCGCTGGGATCAGAGTAGACTTCACTGAAGAACTACCTCGCAAGATCTTTGAAGCAATTCATGAGATATCGACTAATCAGAGGTGAATAATTCAATCAAAGCAAAGATTAATGAAGTGTAGAGAAAAAAGATAAAATGAAATGAAATTTGAAATGAAATTAATGATTTATTTGCCAGAAATATTATAGATAAGATGTTTTTTTTATACCACTGAGGTGGCAAACAAGCATACGGCCCACCTGATAAAATTGTAACTGGACCATATCTGCAAATAGGAGATCATCATATTAGCCTTTAACTGTTCACTGCTGAACATAAACCACCAGCTTGGGGGATTTTTCTAGTAGTTGCCACGCTTGACGGGCGGATTGGCAAATGGTAGATATTTAAGAAGAATTAATATATGAGGTCTTAAGCAAGGAAAGCCAAAACTATACTTTTAAGAATTTTGTCTCTCTGTCGGTACGTTTGTTCCGGCTTTATGCAAAAACGGCTCCACCAAGTTGGATGCGGTTTCCATAGTTGTATTTCTCTTTAGTTAGACCAGTGATTCTCAACCACTGTGCCGCGGCACTTTTGTGTGCCGCCAAATTTTGAAATCGTCAAATATGTGCCGCAACAAAAAAAAGGTTAAGAATCACTGAGTTAGACCTTTATGTGACTTAAAATTTGGCGTATGTATTTTCTTCATAGACTCTAGAAGTAATCTACTTCCTAGGATTTCTTACTTCTGAAACCTACGCGTACTAAGTAGCTGGCAAAAAAAAAAACTAGTCAACAATAAAAAACGTTCTGAAATTCTCTCTTACAGTTATCGCCACAATGCTGAGTCAGCATCGACGATATTTAAAAGCCGCCCCACGCCCGTCAATACGGAGCTCTTACACTGGCTACGTTTAGTGATAGACACAAGAGGCGCTGCCCATCTGCGTTCTCCCGTACAAAAACTTACCGTCACAGAGAGATACTGCCTGGACTTACTCGTCAGCTTGCTGTTACTACTTTGGTTCTTGTCCAAAGTCGTGAAACTAATAAAGGTTTATTTAAAAAGTACAGATATGGACTCGGACTCGGGTAAGAAAGAACAGTAAAGTTTTATGAGCGATAATGATCTCTTTTATTTAGTTTTAACTTCCGTCCGTGCCCCTTATTATTGGACTCTTTCTTATCGGGACCGTTGTGCAAGCGAAATAATTGGGATAAACTAACATAGAAGTTCAATAAAACTATATAAAAGTTCGTCTGCATGATTATCTCTGTCCTACACGTATTTTTGCTAAACAGCTATACTTATATGGTTGTTTCGGTTTGAAAGATGTATATGGTAGTAAAATTACCAGAGGGAGACTTTGTACAAAAGTCGTTTGCTTGGGCACCTCTGTCGCATTCGTGTTGCAACCGTGAAGCAGTTGTGTTTGCATAGCTGTGTTTCGGTTTGAAGGGTGGGATATGGTGTGAATTTACAGGGTACAAAGGAATAACACCTGAGTCCTCAGGAATGGCAACGCATGGGGGTGTCATGGGCGAAACAGTATATTCTGTTATGTCCATGGTACTGCTCATGTCTATAGGCGACGGTTACCACTTTCCATCAGGTGGGCCGTCATCTTGTTTGCCATTCAAAGTTGTATAAAAAATCATTCTACATTTAAATTATATACCTGTCCATTGATTCATATAATAAGACAGTTTATTCTGATTAAATCTTTTATGTCGGTATAAAGGTTAAACGATAAATTCCGTAAGCATTTACCGAAACTCCTCCGCTGGGATATGAGTAGGCGCTTATTTATGTGGCGGCTGCTACGGCAGCGACACCGCGCGGCGCCGAACTTGAACTTGCCTCAATTAAACGAAGGCCGAACGCTTTTTATAGCACATTAAAAAGTCATAGATGTACGCAATCTAATATAAATATACCGGGTGGAAGTGACTCTCGTATACTTTCATTTGTAAATGCGGAAATTCTGTGAATATATACCTTTCCCTTTAAACCCCCTAAGGGTAGGAAGGGTTGTCACAAATTGATTTCCCGGTTAACAAATTGCATTGAAAATAAATTACGCTCTCACTGTGATTTATTTTCACGTAATGTATTGTTAGCAAGTGTATTACATTGCATTTCATCTAATTTATGGTGAGCTGTTAAGCGCGAGAGCAATACCCCGAAGGTAAGGCTGGTGGTGGTAGATCACCCCGTGAGGTCGTGGCGTGCGAAACAAATATCATGTATTATTGTATGATTAAATTACTGATGATATATTAAAAAAAAATCGAATAATGAGTAGTGTTCTGAGGAATTGTTCAGATTCATACCTGCTGCTGATTTGCGCCACCGTACAACCCGCCACAAACTAAAGTTCCATCCCACCCACCTGGATGACTGGTGATATCCCAGCGTGCGTTTCTTAAAGCACTTTCTTCCATGCATGACCACGCTTTGGAATCACCTTCCAGCAGTGGTATTTACGAACTGATACGACATCGTAACCTTTAAGAAAAGAGCATATTCCTTTTTAAAAGGCCGGCAGCACACCTGCAAAGCCTTTGATGTTGCGAGTGCTTATGAGCGGCGGTGGTCACTTACCATCAGGTAAGCTGCATGCCTGTTTAAAAAAGATATAAGAATATTTGGATGTTTGTTATTCAGTCACGTTTAATTAATTTGACATGTATGATAGATTACATAGTGAAGCACGCGGGTAACGCCTCAGAAAACAGCCAGTCTGAAACAAAATATATTTAAATTTGAATGGTTTATTGAACGCACAGCGGTGTCCGTTCTACCAGGATATTTATTGTCGTGTTCGTAACGCAAACGGTTCGTTTCAAGGTACACAAACAATAATCCAATTTGTCACGAGCCGAGCAATGAAAACAAAAGCTTTATACCTATTTCTTTATTTTCCCATCGTATTGACATAATAGCTGCTCGTTTAACCATTTTAACTGTTTATGTGTATATCAATGGATTTGGAGTAGTATAGTTTTTAGTTACACCATTTTAATATAAATGAAATACATTTCTTTTTTCTCTTTTTATTCCTTTCTTTTGCTTTTTAATTGTACTTTTTGCTTCAGTCATAGGTGTTTTTTTTTTGCCTTATTTTCTTTTATTTATACTTTTTATTACATTGCTAAAAGGCATTCAGTGTTACAGCGATGCTTGCATAGGCGATTTTTTTTATGGGTAAAAATGGTATGGTAACCCCGCCTGCGCTAACGGGATGCACTGGCGGAGCACCAGTGAAGGGTGATAGATGAGAATGAAAACAGGCCAGTTAGCCCATCATGATGAATTCATCAGGAATTAATCATGATAGTTTCCAGCGAGAACCGCGAGGAGGTCAACTTCGTTGAGTATATTGCTAGCAATGGGATTCTCAGTCTCCAATACTAACAATCCCTTTCCCCCCTTGCATAGACGATTCGTATAGTGAACCTATATGTGTGTACATATAGTCCTATTTTTATTCGAATTCATGCCGACAAAGTTGCGGAATTCAACTAGCTTAGAACAACGTTACAAAATAGTTTCGTACCTACATTTAACGAGGCCGTGTTTATTACATTTATTACATTATTGCAGTAACTATTAGCGGTCGTTGATCGCTGTCTAACTAAGTATAACTGTCCCTGTCTGACCGCGAAAGCGTATGTAAAGCCACCAGAACTATTTCTGTACTGTTGGTAACTTCTAGGCTATAAAGGTAACCTTTAAAATTGTGGGCCAAACAATGACAAACAATACAGCAGCTCTATAAATGTGTAAGCGAAGTTAGTCCTAATCACACACAAATGAAAAGTGAATTTCAGTTAGTTACGAGAGATTTCTTTAATATTTTTTTTTATATATAACTTAGAATGGCAAACAAGCTGACGGAACACCTGATGGAAAGTAACAACTGTCGCCTATAGATATGAGCAGTACCATGAACATAACAGAGTATACTGATTCGCCCATGATACCCCCCATGCGTTACCATTCCTGAGGACTCAGGTGTTATTCCTCTGTATCCTGTAAATTCACGCCATACACCCTTCAAAGCGAAACACAGCCATGCAAACACAACTGCTTCACGGTTAAAACACGAATGGGACAGAGGTGCCCAAGCAAACGACTTTTGTACAAAGTCTCCCATATAATTATTATTATTAATTAATAAATTAAATAAATAAATAAATAAATTATACCTTTTCCAGTCACTGGATATAATATAAATGAAGATGAATTTTATAAAATTTACTTGTACTGAAATAATTAAATTGTGTTTTATATAAAAAAAAAAACAACTTTAACTATATTAAAACCAATGATTTTGATTTAAAAATTAAACTACGTAACCGATTTTAATAAAATTTCTAAGAAACCAATCTATAAGTACATCCCTTTAGATAAAAAAAAAAAGGATTTACCAAATCGGTTTACAACTGACGCAGTTACGAAGTAACAAAAAATTATAACTGAATCAAGAACCTTCTGTTTTACGTCGGTTAAAAATATTAACGGCGATAATTGACTGGGAGAGAATGCTTTTAGCATTAAGTCCGCCATGTACACATATTTGTACTAATGAATAAATAAATAAAATAAAATAAACTATGTATTTTCTAAAAAAAAATTGAACAGCTTTTAAATAGATGTGAAAGTTTTAGTTAACAAATTGTTTTTTTTAATTACCTGCATGACACATATACTACGTTCCGAAAAAAAAAAAACAGTACAATTAATAATATTGTTGCTTTTAAAGTAATTTGAAAAATTACCTAGAACTTTTCTTTTACCTCCTAAACTTTTTTGGAAAAAAAATAAGTGCTTATTCGAGTGAAATATGCATTCTGAGTAAGTAGGAAATGAAATTCTCTAGAGACACTGTTAAAATAGGCGTTCGCCCGGTCAGGTCTTGAGAAATTTCGAGAACAAAATATAAATGGTTCAGCTTTGTCTCTATCTAGTCCTTGTAGGCTTCTTCTTATCAAAGATAATATGGCGACCTTAATTCGTGAGCGCAAAAGACTGATTCCAGTTAGGTCACGGAAATGCGTAACGTTCATCGGATGCCGGGAACATTCCATTCTATTTTACGACCATTCAATTTCTCCAGAGACGAAGATTAAAACGTATCTTTGGTGATTTCATTTAGAGACTCTCCTTTCCATTAACGGATACTGTGGAATGCGGAATGCAGGCGCATTCATTTTGTATGCATAAGTGAAAGACAGCGGCGACAAATATTAAGTCGAGTAAGATTTACACTGACAGATAGGTGTGCAAGTTTTTTTTATTATTTTTACAGGGTTATAAGTAGATGTGAATTAGTCTTGTAACTTATAATTTTTCTAAGATTCTAATCAAGAGAATTATAAATATTTAAATGTATATTATGCTCAACGAATTTGAGTGAAAGATCTATCTCATCGATATGATCGATCTCAACCCAGTTAGCCCATCATGATGTATTCATCAGGAATTAACCATGATAGTTTCCAGGGGGAACCGCGAGGAGGTCGACCTGGTTGGGTATATTGCTAGCAATGGGATTCTCAGTCTCTATTACTAACAATCCCTTTCCCCCCTCTTGTCCACGCGAGTTAGAATGACAGAGCTACATCGAGTGTCTTATTCTATCTCGTGGACTCACTGATGGAAACGATTCTATCCATTGATTAGTTTTCCACCGGTCTAGAAGTTTGAAATGTTATACTGACAATAGTCAAGTATATTGTATGCTTGTTTGTACCTTGGTAGCATTATAGGATCTATAGGCAAGATTTAGCGGCGCGCCCGTCATATGCCCGTGTATCGTGGATTACCGGGAGCTATTTCTGAACCGAGTACTGACTGCAGCAGCGTTTCGTAAACAATGGAAGTGGTGCAGTGGGCCATTGATGTGGCACGTTGCAACTCGAGTCACAAACTGGTAGCGTTCAGTCAATTTTTTTAATTAAAATGTAAATTTTGGTTGGATCTAAAAGGTATAAAAGTAAAAAATCCTGTTTATTAATATATTATGCAATAATTATTAGGTGACAAACAAGCATACGTGCTGCTGGATCTGCTTATGGATATGATGATGGCTTCAGTTGTTAGTTGTTAAGCATTTAATA